AGTAGTTAACTGAGTTGACTTCTTGCGTTCATAATTCAAGGTCCTAGAAAAAAACAGATGTCCCCTCTTGGACCTCACTGGTATTAACGGCTTGGAAAGATATGTAAGCTCACTTGTTTTTTCAATGCCTGATCATTTTTCTCTCAAGCTAAGAAGGACACAGCTATTTCACTGAAGTAAATGAAAATACAAAAAAATATCATCCTTCTGAAGAAGACACTGCTACAGGCAACATCTTTATCACTTTAAAACTATTTCCAGATGATCATCCAATTGCTTTCCCTGCTCTGCTCTTTGACTTCCTTTAAAATTCAAGGCAACAAATATTTAATAGCCTTAATATTGTATTTTAATTAACACAATCCATCAACAGTGTTTAATTTATGCATTACTGGAATTTCATGTTAAAACTGGAAGCAAGATTTTTATTGTTTAAATTACAATTGAAACTGTACATAAATAATAGATATGAAGATTACAGTCCTGAAGTACTCCACATACTAGAGCAATTTTACGTGTCAGTCAACAGATACAACCTTTTTGTTTCCAGCAAGGACACCAGAAACTATACAGTTATCCTCACAGCACACTTTGTTTCTCCATTAATACTGCATCACGGAGGCAAAGAATTCAGAGTCCGTGCATCACCACCCTGACCCTCTTCTCCTGCAGCCGCTAGGGTGTGAGAGGAACACTGCTCTCCCTCTTCCTTTCCAGAGGGGAACAACCCCACTACCCCTCTTCCAGCATCTCCCTCGCTCTTCCCTCCTTACTCTTTTAATTCATAACAATTAAAGAGCCCTCAGCACTACTTGCAGTATCGGCTACTACTGCACGTTTCAGCTTTTAAAAAGGCATGGATTTTGGTTTTATTTCAGTCAGCCAAAGTGCACACAAACTGTCCCAGCGACCAAATGCAGGCTGCCCGTGTCCTCCTGCTGGGTCCCTTGCTGCGCCCGTACCCTGCGTGACTCAACCTACAAGCTGCTCCCCTCCCTCCTCCCCCACCCTGACAGCGGCACATCCTGTAAATTCTTTCGCCCGTACCCTTTAAATTTAAAGTCACTACCATCAGAGACCCAGCTTATCTTGCAGCAACATATTCAAAGGGCTACTATCCCCCTGAACTCCTAATTGCCCTTTCTGCTGCTGTATCACCTCGCCTCCTCCTGACCCCACCTTACTCCACCCCTCCTTACTTGCATCCTCCACCTTCCCCGCTTGTGGAAGAGGAATCTCCCTAGAGACACTTGGATAAGTTTATCTAATGCTAATGTGACATAAGAACGGCCATATGGCAGTGACCTGGATCCACCAAGCCCTGGCCACAGGGCTATACGCGTACAGTACAAGCACACAGCCATGCTTCCACAGGACTATCACTCTCCTGCCCTCCAGCAATTTGCAGCTCAGGGATTTCTGGACCCAGAAGTGTGAATTTTTATGTAAAAACTCGCAAAGCATTTTCCCCCTCCCCATGCTATTTTGTATCTGCTATTTGAACTGATGAAAGTATCTGTAATACCCTGCAGCAGGAGTTCAGCACTTAAGTGTGTATTGAATGGGGGAACACTTCTCACTGTTTTGTTCTGAACCTGCCACTTCCACAGAATATTTACTCCACGCTTGGCACTCCTGATGTTGAAAGTTTTATCATATTTGTCCTCACTGTGTCTTTTCCAACTGGAGGAATGCTGAAGTTGTTCCTTGTACAGAGGTTACTCTGTACCTCTGATTATTCTTGCCACTCCGAACCTTCTCTGGTTTCATTATATCTATGTTGAGAACTCTGGACAAGGACTACAGTGTTCAAGATGCAAGAGTCAGAGAAGGCTGCTATGTCACAGAATCACAGAATGGCAAGGGTTGGAAGGGACCTCGGGAGATCATCCAGTCCAACCCCCCTGCTAAAGCAGGTTCACCTAGAGCAGGTTGCACAGGACATCGTCCAGACGGGCTTTCAGCATCTCCAGAGAAGGACACTCCACAACCCCCCTGGAGCAGCCTGCATCGTCCAGACGGGCTTTCAGCATCTCCAGAGAAGGACACTCCACAACCCCCCTGGGGCAGCCTGTTCCAGTGCTCTGTCACCCTCAAAGTAAAGAAGTTTTTCCTCATATTCAACTGAAACCTCTTATGTTTCAGTTTGTGCCCATTGTCCCTTGTCCTGTTGCTGGGCACCACTGCAAAGAGTCTGGCTCCATCCTCGTGACATCCACCCTTAAGGTATTTGTATGTGTTGATGAAATCCATGTTTTGTTCTCTATTCTTAAGAATGACTAACAGCCACTTTTCTTTCTTGACTGCTCTTGAGTATTCACAGCTGATGTTTTCACAGAACTATCACAAATCAAGATTTTGTTCTTGAATTGCAGTAGGCAGCTCAAACCCAAAGACTTTATGCATGCAAACTAGGGTATTTTTTTTTTGCCACATGCATAATTTCATTTTTCTACACTGATTTTCACTATTTTAGATCTCAGTCAGTTTTGTAAAGTCCTTTCTGTGATTCTTCATAGTTGTAACTGTTAATAACTTACGGTAACTCAGAATAACTTACCCTAAATAGCTTAGTAACAGCAGCAAATTTGAGTAGCATAATACAGCAAAACACTCTACAGTGCTCATACATCCTTGGCAGCAGGGCAAAAAAACAAGGCCAGATTCCTGTGCAGGTTCACGGATGGTCAGAGAGGCCCAGGCCCTGAGAACCTGGCAGCGTGCAGGACAGGGGAGGCAGAAGCTGAGTAAGAGGGAACATTTAGTCCTGCCGGGCAGTCAGAAGTAGAATCTGAACTATAGTAAGTCCACACCTTCTAGCAAAGAAATCCCAGACATGTACTCCTGACTTGATCTCTTACCTCATCAAGTCCTGCAGGTCCTGTAAAAATTGTCATCTGGTCCCCTCTTTTGACTTTCTAGTGCCTTCTAGAAAAGCCAACACTACTCAGTAATCACACGTACCTGAATAAACCTTTTCCTCAGCAATCCAAGGCCAGGAGCCTCTAGATTTCCCAAATTCTTGTACATTCCTTCATACAGTTCCTTAAGCTTATTTTTATTCCTCTGAGTTTTTACCAACTCGTTTCTGACATCCTCAACCCAATCCTGCAAACAGAAGCAAACAGATGAGTACCGACAAAAAGTTTACTGACTCTCACTTTTCTGTAATCTGCTCAGATTGCATTTGGGTTTCTGTATTTACTAATAGTCAATCAATGTATATTTTAACAACAAAAGAGTAATAAAAAGGCTATGGACATAATATGGAAATATTTCTATTTAATAACATAATTATGTTTACTACCATAGTGCCTAGCACAAACTAGAAAGCCCCTATGGGGTCAGGAGTGGCATCTAACACAAGACAAGAATCCTTCGGCCAACAGGCTCAGAATATAGATGGAGAAGCCCAGCAGAGAGCAGGGTAAGGGCATAACAACACAAGTAGTCAGAAATTATAGACATAGCCACAAAGGATAATTTTGTAACAGTTGCAGAATGATTAAGGATGACTGGCCATGGGGCAGGGCAGAGACCCTGAAGCAGAAAGCTGAAAAGGGACAGTGCAGAACAGCCAGCTGGCACAAGGGAGGGAGACCATCGTCAGTGAAAGCTGCTGACGGCACCCCGACATCATCACCAGTTGATTCTGGGTTGAACCGCTTCCTGCGGCTGTGGTGTCAGCCGAACGGCGGCAGGCCCCTCCCAGCACTCTCTTTCCTAAACAGAAGGTGAGGAATGAAGGGGAAAGAGGGGAGGAAATTAAAAAAAAAACAAAACACTTTACCTTAAAAAGCATTATTGGATTAGAGAGCTGTTCCAGGGAGCGAACAAAATCTTGAACTACTCCTCCTCTGTCCAACTTATTCTTGATCCTTTAAAAGCAAAAAAGTGCATCACAATGTAACAGGAACCACCATCACCACCTAGCCTGCAGATAAGCAATGCTCCAGATTGTCTGCTAAGATTCAAGAACCCGGCAAAATAATCTGGGGGTAGGTAGGTAGGACTCCCTCAGAATCCTCTCGTCGGCTGCATGACTGTCCTTGCCATGTGGCTCCCAATTTTTTAATTAAGTGTCTCACTGTGAAAACAGGAGCTTGGG